ATGTACAAAAATCATTTAAACTTTAGCATTGAACGCGTGCAAATGTATGTGCATTTGCGTCATGACCATATCATCTTGTCTACACAATCTATATTTTTAATACACTGAATATTAAAGTATTTAATCCAAAATTATTTAAAAAATACGCTCATTCAAGTGTATGTTTGATTTTATTCATTTCACGTGCACGCACGTGCATACATGAGCATGGTGACCATACCTTCTTGTAGAAGTCCATTACATCTATCTATGTTCTAAATTCCACCCCGTTTGGGTGAAAAACTAAGGGAGTTATAGCTGTTTAAAGTTTCAGCCAATCAGATTGCAGCACATGTTTACGCACGTGTATGCATGTGCATGGTGACCATTCCTACTTGTAGAAGTCCATTATATCTATCTATATTCCAAATCCCATCCTGTTTGGTTGAAAATCAAGGGAGTTATAGCTGTTTAAAGTTTCAGCCAATCAGATTGCAGCGCACGTGCATGCACGTGTTTTCATGATAATTGCTTTATTTCATGTTGTAGGATATCCTAATGCATGGCTATGTTCAAAATTTTAAAGAATTTCGTCAAAAAACAAGAAAGATATTGAGACTTTAGTTGCAGCCAATCAGAGCGAAGTGCACGTGCATGCGCGTGAGATCTTGCTATTTTCACCATGTCGTCATGTCTATACTACTAATATATCCTCACATTATGAGTTTCAAAGCATTTCATTTAAAAATAGAACAGTTGTGGCTATATCTATTATATTGGTCATTTCACGTGGTGCACGTGCACGCTCTTGCAAGCACGTGCGCGCAAAATGACCTTGATTCCGCAAATCTACATAACATGTCTACTAACCCTAAAAAGGTTTTACCTACATCGGACGAACAGTTTACAAGATCATTCCCGGACAAAAAAGTTCCAGGAAGAAGAAGAAGAAGAAGAAGAAGAAGAAGAAAAATAATAATAATAACTAGAAACAATCTCGTTGCGAGCAACGAGAGGTCTTCCGTCCAATTCTGAAATAAAAAACGAAAAATCTAGCTGAAAAAGTCGTAAAAAAATATCGGTCACACGGGGGATCGAACCCGGGTTGCCCGCGTGAAAATCCAACGCGCTAACCATTACGCTATCGGGAACACCGCTTCAAATTTTTAATTGCGAATTTCTCAAGATTGGCTTTTTTAATTCTAAAACAAATTACACATTTCGCATTCATTTAAGAGTCTCTATTAACCCTACAAAAATCACAGAAAAATAATGAAAAACAAAAAAGTTGAAAATTTTGATTTTTTTAATTCGCTTCCGGTAGCAACCGGAAGTACTGACGACACACGAAAAGGACATTCCGCAAATCTAGAAGTCATGCCCTATGTTCTCTAACAAGTCTTCAGTTCATATCTTTAGTAGTTCTTTAGATCTCGAACTGACAAAATTTCATTTTAAAATCAGAAAAATTGCCATAACTTGGAACCGGAAGTGACTTGTTCCAAAATTTTACCAAAATTATCAATGGCATATTAGAGCGCATCATCCCTGAAAGTTTGATGAAAAACCGATGAATAATTCTCGAGATATCGCGTGCACAAAATTTGTCTAAAAAATAAGAATAATAATAATAACTAGATGAGATCTCGTTGCGAGCAACGAGTAGGTCTTCCGTTGAATTTCTCGATAAGATGAGATGTGATTTTGACTGAGATATTAGTTAAAAGAGAATGACATTAAGTTTTTCTTCCTTAAATCTAAAGTGTCGGATTTTAATCACGATATTCTGAACATCTTTTGTTCAATATGGCTTATAAAAATGCTCCCCCTTTTTGAGACGAAAAGCATAAAAAAAATTGCATTTTGGCCCCTTGCAACCCGTTATTAAGTAAGATAAGACCAAAATTTTATAATATATTGTTGCAAATCATTAAGATGAATACTTTTGCTTCAATAATGTATAATAAAATATTGATCATTAGAGAGTTGTAGATAAAAGACTTTTAGTCCCTCTGAGCCCTTAATTTGAGGACTCGGTCCCTCTTTCTTGAAATCAAATGAAAGGTCTTGTGATTTTGAAGATTTTTTGTTCAACACTTATTCAGAGATTTCTATTCGTTGTGGAGATATGCTTAATGGAAATATTTAGGGGCCATCCCTACAAGTCCATAATGGGGCCGTTTTACAAAAATTCAAAGTATGCATATTGTTTAGAACATTATTCTGAACATCTTTTGTTCAATATTGCTTATTAAAATATTCCCTCTTTTTGAGATATAAAGCGTCAAAGATTTGACATTCTGGCCTCTTGTGATCCCTAATTACGTAACATATGATCAAAGTTTTATCATATATTGCTGCAAATAGTTAAGATAAATACTTTTGCTTCAGTAATGTATAACAAAATATTGATCATTAGAGAGTTATGGATAAAAGACTTTTGGCCCCTCTTAGCCCCTAATTTGAGGGGTCAGCCCCATTTTCTTGGTATCAAATGAAAGGTCTTGTGATTTTGAAGTTTTTTTGTTCAGTATTTATTCAGAGATTTCTATTCGTTGTGGAGATATGCTAAATGGAAATATTTAGGGGCCATCCCTACAAGTCCTAAATTGGGCTGTTTTACAAAAATTCAAAGTATGCATATTGTTTAGAACATTACTCTGAACATCTTTTGTTCAATATTGCTTATTAAAATATTCCCCCTTTTTGAGTTATAAAGCGTCAAAGATTTGACATTCTGGCCCCTTGTGACCACTAATTACGTCACATATGATCAAAGTGTTATCATATATTGCTGCAATTAGTTAAGATAAATACTACTGCTTCAATAATGTATAACAAAATATTGATCATTAGAGAGTTATAGATAAAAGACTTTTGGCCCCTCTTAGCCCTTAATTTGAGGGGTCAGTCCCATTTTCTTTGTATCAAATGAAAGGTCTTGTGATTATGAAGATTTTTTGTTCAGTATTTATTCAGAGATTTCTATTCGTTGTGAAGATATGCTTAATGGATATATTTAGGGGTCATCCCTACAAGTCCTTAATGGGGTCGTTTTACAAAAAATCAAAGTATGCATATTGTTCAGAACATTATTCTAATCATCTTTTGTTCAATATTGCTTATCAAAATATTCCCCCTTTTAGAGATATAAAGCGTCAAAGATTTGACATTCAGGCCCCTTGTGACCCCTAATTACGTCACATATGATCCAAATTGTATCATATATTGTTGCAAATCGTTAAGATAAATACTTTTGCTACAGTAATGTATTACAAAATATTGATCATTAGAGAGTTATAGATAAAAGGCTTTTGGCCCCTCTGAGCCCCTAATTTGAGGGGTCAGCCCCTTTTTCTTGATATCAAATGAAAGGTCTTGTGATTTTGAAAATTTTTTGTTCAACACTTATTCAGAGATTTCTATTCATTGTGGAGATATGCTAAATTGAAATATTTAGGGGCCACTCTTACGAGTCCTTAATGGGGCCGTTTTACAAAAATTCAAAGTATGCATATTGTTAAGAACATTATTCTGACCATCTTTTGTTCAATATTGCTTATCAAAATATTTTCCCTTTTCGAGATATAAAGCGTCAAAGATTTGACATTCTGGCCCCTTGTGACCCCTAAATACGCAAGATATGCTTAAACGCTTATAATATTCTGTTCCAAATGGTCTAAAATTGAAAAATATCGAAAAATTGAGCAGAAAAAATGATAAAATTTTTTGGTCACACGGGGGATCGAACCCGGGTAATTTATAATTTATATAATATATTAGCCCGCGTGACAATCCAACGCGCTAACCATTTAGCCATTGGGATCGCCGCTTCGCGTTTTCAAATGCAAATATCTCGAGATTGGCTTTTTCGATTTTCAAACAAATTACATATTTCGCTTCTGCAAAAGGGTCTCTATTCAAATCAAAAACAAAAATATTAAAAAAGAAAAGTTGAAAAATTGCGTTTTTTAAACTCGCTTCCGGTAGCGACCGGAAGTATTGATGACACACGGAAAGGTGATTCTGCAAAGCTATAAGTCATGAACTATCATCTCAAATAAGTCTCCTGTTCATATCTTAAGCAGTTTTCGCTACTAAGTTCAGACAAAATTGCATTTTAAAATCAGGATATTGTAGATATTTCACGACCGGAAGTGACGTCATCAACAAAAAAAATTTCCAATAAGGTTCAGATCAGTAACTATCAGATGTGAAAGTCTCATGAGAATCGGCCCAGTAGTTTACGAGAAATCGCGTGCACAAAATTGGTAAGAATAATAATAATAGGGAAAAAGAAACCGAAGAATAACAAGAAGGTCTTCCGTTGGAGACGGAAGACCTTAATAAGAAACAGTAGAATCACTATAAGGTCTTCCGTGAAGACGGAAGACCTTAATAAGAAACAGAGTAAAAACAATATGTTCCCCAACTTCGTTTGGGGAACATAATTAGATATGCTAAATATTTTAGCATAGATGTGTATGACATTGTATGCATAACTGATGGAACAACCATCGTTCAAGAAATCTGCGCACGTGACTTGCTTAGTGGCGTTTATGCACTGATTAATGGGAATGGTCTCCATGAGAAATAAAGGGAAAAAAATTCAGTTGATGTAAATAGTGTTTTTTTTTCCTTTGTCCTTTTATTTGGGCAGTTTACTTGGATTAAATTTTCAGTGCAGTTTCATTCAAAATTCAGCTTTATGAAAACTGCGCGATAAATATAATAATTAATTTCCTTTTAATTAAATAAAGATGTGTTTGGCTAAATTCCTTGATTAAGATTGATTGACGGTTTTAACAACAGACAAATATAATAGAGGGAAATGATATCAAGTGTTTGAAAACAATTTATTTTGTGGATTTTTCCAATCTTCCATTGCATGTTACATGGATATATACATATGTATTTGTGCATGAAATAGTTTTTAAAAGGAGTTCAAGGAAATTGAATGGACATTTCCTAAATTTCAACATTTTGAATTTTTTTCGTTGCAATTCAGGAACTCAAAACTTGAATTGTTTTTACAATATTATCAATAATTTAATTTAATAATGGATTACTGCATTATCATTGCTCTGTTATCAAATGGGATTGGGCTGTTTGCAAATACTCTAGGAGTTTGTTCAAAGAAAGGGTAAGGAACTCGGAATAGATATATGTACTTGTAGTAACATTGAATATGTATGTCCTGAAAAAATGCAATTTGAACAGCTCATATAATGCTAACGTTGACAAAAGAAATTATACAGTTAAATGGTCAGGAGGGTGATATTCAGGTTATTGCTATTTTGCTTATTCATTGCTATTTATTAATTTTAAACTCATTAATTGCTTTGCATGGATCTAGAGAACCGTTGATATGCTGCGAAAACTACCGCAAAGTTGGTGAAGCCTGCGAAGGTATTTATATTTATCTACAATATCTACTTGAAACTGAAATTAAAAATAACATTTTGGTCGAGGGTTACTTTTCAATTGGTTTATTCGTGTGCTTTCTAAACAAGCAAAATCTCACTAATAAAATATGATACTTTATAATACTAAATACAACACACATATAAGCAAATATACTGAAAGGAAAAAGAAACGCATATCAAACTTTTGAATTAAATTAAAACTATTATTTCGAATATGTTTTCCAGTATTGTTATCAAGCATTTTAAGTCAGCCTTAATCAACAAGTTAGCTGTGTCTTGTATGACTTTGACTGATTATTCATAATTTATTTAAATTAATATGTCGATACCCCTAAAAATCTCATTATCTCCCATGTACATCAGTAACAACCTTGGTTTTCCAGTGCATTGAGATCACCAGAGCATTTTTCTTTCTCATAGAATTATCATTCAACCCTTCCGACGGAAATCTTTATGCTTGAGAGTAGCTATAACATTTCAAAGCCAGCAAATCCCCCGCCCAATAAATTCCACGAATTTTCGATTTAGGATAGAATTTACAGAATCTAGCTGGTTTGATACTCTTGAATATTAATAATTGAGTCTCGAAAAATACTTGCTACATTTTGTCAGTGTGAACACGCTAAAATCATTACGCATATGACGTGTACGTGCGCGTGTGAGAATAAAATCGACGTAAAGTTGACAAGCTCGTGGACAAAATTAGAGCAGAGAGTTTATGTCAATTTAGGGTGGAAAATATGGGTATGATAGTCTGCTGTTTAAATTTCGGTTTCAGTGATACTGTATACAGGGTTATTTTCGCCCCGTGTTATTTTCGCCCTTTTACACTTGCTTACAATTTTGCCCCGTTTTAATTTCGCCCAGTAACAGTTCTGTTTAAGAAATTATACTATGTTCTTTGAATTCGCCCCGTTTTAAATTCGCCCACTTTTGACAAGGGCGAAAGGGGCGAAAATAACACAGGGGCGAAAATTTCCCTGTATACAGTAATGCCTTGATAATAACCGAGGCGGTATGATGACAAGTCCTATCTTGATGAGGCGTTGTTAGTGCCAACGTCACTGTCATGGTTTGTTGGAAACCTTTTAAGTTACTCTCTGAAAACAGAAAATTGTGGTGTAAAAGTTAAAAACAAACGACTCAGCTACATGTTGTTGCCTTTTTATTCACTTATGCAATTCAATTACTAGAGCCAATGTAACTTCCGTCAGCCACACCATGATTGCAAGAAATATATACTGACTGCAAATATGCAAAAACGATGTCTATAACTCTAATGCATCGTTTGGCGCTACAAAATGTGATCACAAAATTGCCTTCAAAGTACATGTGTTTTTGGCTTTTTATTACTTTCCCTAAGTGACGCCATAATTTCATGGTTGAGTAGTCTGACCAGCAATTTTAGTGCATACATCTGACCAATATTTTTAATTTTTGGCCACAGAGTCAGAAAATTTTCGCATAGAATGTTCTCATGCGTTTCTTTTTCTTTTCAGTATACATTTTCTTATTTACTTAAACATGTTCAAGTGTTTATTGATGTAATAGAATTTATTTTGAAGAATGTTGGCCAGGAACGTTTGGTGTTAATTGCACTCCATGCCCTCCAAATTTTTATGTAAAGCTTTGTGGAGAACAATGTCATGACTGTACACCATGTGACCCCAATTACTGGGTGTGTTCCAAATGAAGGTAAGAAAAAATTATTAAATATCAATATTTTTATAGGAATGCTACTTTTTTGTACATGTTTCATAAATAATGCTTCAAAAATTCTAAAATAGTACACACAATCACACAATTGGTATACATTATCTTACATGTCTATAAATTATATATCATATGTACACTGTGTACATACTGTACATGTATCTCTCTAAGCCAATGACATCAAAATGAAGCCAAATTATGAATCTGATTGATGAGTACACATTGATTATAGGTACATAATATGTGTCCTAAATGATTACACTGTATGTAAAAACTATCTGATTTTTTTTTATAAATCCGTGTGTGTAGATTACAAAAACATATAAAGTTAAAAAAAAAATCAGATTTTTAAAATCAGAATCCAATGTCTTTTTGTAATATAGGATTCTGAAAAATACCTTTTGATATCTATATGGAAACGCTTTTAAAACGCAAATCTAAAGGACATTTATGCAAACCAGTTTTTAGCTTAATTCTCTTGTATTTCCTGTATAAATATGGTTTTAATGATTTAAGGACCTTTTAATGATTTTATAATGCCAAATGCTACTCTAATGATCGTAGACACAATTGTTCTTATGATTTTCATTGAATTCTATTTTATATGATTATCCTTCATGCTTTCTGCCTGATTACAGATCATAATGAGAATACTACATATAATTCTGCTGAATTACTTACATATAATTCATTTTTTCAACAAAGGCAATGTTTGCTGTGTAACTAGTGTTAATTTCCATCACGCGTAAAAACTATTTTCAGAACATCTTTACTGAATGTTTTAGCAAAAGTATTTATTACTGTTGTCTTTTAATTTAAGGCATCACAAGACTTATGTGTGCCATGTGTACATATGCATTATAAAATACCATTTTCCCTGTAATTTATAACGCTAAGATTAAATGTAAATGCTGAACCTACCTTAGTTTACAATATAAAAAGCATAAAAACTGTAAAAATAACACTGCAGGCAAAAGTCATCGACTATCAAGTTAAAACATTTTCTTGCTTAGAATCATTTTCTTGCTTAGAATCTACATAAGTAGTTTTCTCTTTAGAAAATTTCATCAAATATTACATGTATGATAAATTGTCATAGCTGAGAATACACATGCAGCATCAAAAGTTTTGACGACTCAATATTACTTGCAAACTTAATTATTTTTGTGACATTAATTTCCTGCCAGTTTACAAATGCATACTTTGACTGAAAAAAAATGACCAATGTTTTTACAGAAATTGACGGATGAGGAGAGTGAATAACTAAATTGTGTATAATTAAAGTAATTAAAGTATATCAGAAAAGATAATATATACATGTATGATAATTAATAGAAATACTCTTCAACAGTTTTGCTACTTTTTATTTTCTTGCTAACATTAACCAAAACAAAACAAATTCTTCTTGAAAAATTTGCACATTTTTTAAAATTCATTTTATTTGAGTAAAATCTTTATTTTTAAACAGGAAGCGTACATCAAAACGATGCCAAGATAATCAAGGTAACATTGCTTACATTGTATCGCAATTTCTTGTTAGTTCAATGATTTTATGTATATAATTATATTAAATATTCAAATAAATTTGAAGCACTTGCACATGCATAATTATGTTGTTTTTTTTTTCAGAAAAATCCTCTCCAGAGATACAGATGAGTAAACCAGCGAGCTGTTTAACACGAGAAAATAACCCAGGGTTGCGCTTACAAAACAATTATGACACAAACATCGAATACAGTCAATCTGAAGACTTTGGACCTTATGACACATTAAATTTGGAAATCAAAAAGGACTCAGGAAAAGCTTAGAATGTTTCTTGCATGTTGATGAGTGTCACAACATCAATTTCGTTAATCGCCGAAGTGTTTACTGTGATGAAAACAGAACAACTCTCGAAGAATATGTTATATTTAGATTGTAATATTAAAGAGATTTAATTAGCTATTTCAGTTCATTGCGGAACGAAATCATTGTGACTTCTTTTATATCGCACATGCATATATGAACAGTGGACAAACTAACGAAAATGCACCTCCTCATAAATTGTTTTAATATTTCCTTCTTTGTATGATAATAATGTTCTTTAAATTGTTCGGAAAAAGTACCCATCGGTAATTTGAATGTTGACTGACTTTTTTTCATACAAATTGTTAAAGCTTATTTTCGCATTGAATTGCTTACTTTTTTTCTGGTTACCCTTTCCTCCGAAATTGAATAGCTGGTCCTTTTTATGATCAATCTTATGTTAGATACTATTAAAAATTTGATATAAAAAAAAACAATTTTTTGTAATCCTTAATGGCAAATTAGTCTTTTTAAGGATACCAACAATCTTCTAAACGTTAACATTTAACTTTAACACTGAACTTGATTTTCTTTACGATGACTTTCTCAGAAAAAAAAAACAACAACACATTGAACAACTGAATGTTGACTGATATTTTTCATAGAAATGGCAAGGCTTTATTTCTACTCTGCACTGTTTATTAGTTTTTACGTTTACCCGATCGTGACAAGGAGCACAAGGCTGTTCTGACCAGAGGACTAGGGATGTTTAGGCCTACATGACATCCTGATCCCATTCCCATGTTTTCTTTACTCCTATTATATATAGTTTCAAAGGGTTTTTCACTTGTCGTTATTTTAATATTTCATAGCACTTAATGGAAATTATGCATGATGATATGATTTTGAAAGCAAAATTTTGATCTCTTCTAGAGGCATTGTATGCTAGTAAATAGTTAAAATATCGTGAAACCGGAAAGAGGACTGGGGAATTGACACGGGATACAATTTGTGATTTCACAAGTCAGTATCTGCTTAGTTCAAAATTTATATGTTTGATTGATCGTTTAAGCATGAAAATTGATATATTTTAATATTTCTTATAGAATTTGATTGATCGGCTGATTGATTGATTGTATGTTGTTTTACGTCCCATTCGAGAATTTTTCACTCAAGTACAGACGTCACCATATACCTGTGAAGGGCGGCAAATTTTTACCCATACTCGGCACTCAGGGCCATCGAGCAGTGAGGAATCTTTATCGGGCCAACGCCTGTCGTGCCTCGGTTTTTAAGGTCTCATACGAAGGACCCGCAACTTTCACTTCTAAGTGCCGAGCACATGGCGAAGGAACAGTTGCTACTCATTTTTTGTCGACTTAGGTCAGTCGCAGCCGAGATTCGAACTCCCGGCCTCTGGGAGCGAGCCATAGAATTTGAAAATAGATTTGAAAAGCTATGAGCGTGCTCCCTAATTATTTATGTAGTAATAAAATTGAATGGAATAGTATTGTTTTTGTAAAGAGAAAAATCAAACTTTTACTTTTTTCAATTAACAATAAAAACTATAATTCACATGTCGATTCGATAAATTCCAGTGATCGTGAAATAAAAGTTATCAAAAAAATTTTCACATCTGTTTTTAAACCCAGATACTTTACAAGAAAAAGACATACTTGTAAATATCAATCTAGTAATATGACTTTTGACGTGCGCAGAAATGCCTGTAACCAAAAGAAAAATGAAGGCCTACATAAAATGGCACCTGATCCCACTTCTGATGTTTCGGAGGTCCGTGTTTGCTCTGCTTCTATTTTGTATTGTTTTATGGACTTTGAGATTGAATACTGTTCGTTACCTCCATATCCTTCTTCCGAAACAACTGATTCAGAACCGGTGTCATTACGTACATGTATAATTTACTTCTTCAAAATAACCTAAAATATAACAAGCAGTTGATAGATTAACAAAATACAAAAGAAATACCAAGATAATCTATTTCGTGATAATTTGTTGGAATTAGACAAATTTGATATTCATAATTCATTTTATTAAAATTCAACAATTTCAGAATGAAATTAATAATGAAGTATTTTTTGTCCCCCGCTTGAAAAGTGGGGGATATTAATTTGGGTTTGTCCGTCCGTCCGTCTTTCTGTCTGTCTGTAACGCTTTCGTTTCCACACGATATTTCGAGAACCCTTTGAGCTTTTGCAATGAAATTAAGCATACCAACTTGCTATGGACTAAAAAAGACCCCTATTGATACTGATGTCAAAAGATCAAAGGTCAAGGTCATAAATAAGCAAATTCTGTCTGTTATAACACTTTCGTTTCCACACGATATCTCTAGAACCATTTGAGCTATTGCGATGAAATTTTACATAACAACTCCCTGTGGCCTAATAAAGACCCTTATAGATTTTGAAGTCAAAAGGTCAAAGTTCAAGGTCGTAAATTTATACATTTTGTCTGTGTGTAACACTATCATTTCCGGGCGATATTTCAAGAAGATTTTGAGCTTATGCAATGTAATTTTATACCAAAACTCCCTAGGACCTCTCTCACCCCTCTCCAAGTGCCCGCCCCGTTTGTTTTATTAATATTCATGGTATTACATGTCGCTATTTTTAGCACAGGGGCATGAGGAGAGTTATTGCGTATAAAACAGGTTCTCGGCGGACTTTATGTTCTTATTACATCTATTAGAACTGTTAAATAAAGGCTAAATAAATCAAACTCCATGGATTGTGTAAAATTTTAGAATACCGAACATGAATATATACAATTTCATGTATGTGACTTTAGTTCTGCATATACTTCACTTTATATAAAGCGATTCCGTGTTCTAGTGGTATGTCTCTCGCTTCATATGTGAGTAGTCCCGGGATCGAATCTCGGACAATCCTTTTTTTTAAAATACTTTTCTTTTTTTTAATAAATGATAGTATTCAGCATGTGAAATGAAAAATTTATGAGGTTATAAAATCATCATTACAGTGTGATAAATATTCCATATAAAAAGAATCTTCTATACACATAATAAAGAATAAGCAATCAAATCTTTACATGCATATTGACATACATGTATTTCATTTGCTTCAGTATACATGTATACATTTAATAATTC